TTTCCTCCCCAAACCCTTCAGCGGTCCTCTGCAGCCTATGGGAACTCTGTGCTTTACCAAGCCCCCCAGCACGGCCTGCCTAGGACCTGCCAGCCACTGCCATCCCAGGCCCTGCTCTGGAGTGCAGCCACAGGGATCTGTGCTCCTTCCTGTGAGCTTGCCCCTTCCTCTGTGTGCTTGCTTTCCCCGCTCCAGGGCCTCTCCCCCTCCCTCGCCCTCTCCTGGTCAACCTCGGCCCACGCTTCAGGTCTCAGTGTGACCACCTCTCCTCCTGGACGCCTCCCTTGGCCCCCATGTCTGTGTAGGTGCCACTGTGCTGTGCTTACAGAGAACCCCCAGACCAAACGCCCCGCTGTTCACTTCCGTGCCTCATTGGCCTGAGAGGAGAAACGGCACCTGCTGTGTGGATTTTTGTACCTCCAGCTCCTGGCTCAGGGCCCACAGTAGTTAACCCTGAGTACCTAAAAGGTGAACGCATGGGTGAGGTGTGTTGACTTCGGTGCTAAGAGCTCTCAGCTTCCTCCTCTGTTTTATGCATGAAGTGGTCAGCTCTGGCCTCGGAGGGTGACCCCAGGTGAGTGGTGAGAGCAGAGGGCTGGGGTGCGTTGTCCCAGACTAAGGGCATCGTGATGGTAGGAGGGCAGCCTACACCAGCTCTCTCAGGAGCAGCTCAGAGCTGAGATGAAGCTCAGGCTTTCTCCTCCAGGCACAGAGGGAGAGAGCATCCCCACCTACGTGCCGAGAACCTATCAGGGCTTTTGAAAGTGTCCGGATCTGGTTTGACCCAACTCAGCTGACCTCCTTCCCCAGCCCCTTTCCGGTCACATGTTCTCAGAGCTATGTGTCTCACAGGAAACGTCTGCCAATTTCATGCTGTTGGCCTCCTCGGAGTTGAGGTCAGAGGCGGCCTGGGTTTGAAATGGCTTTTGGAGCTCTTGGAAGGCTCTCGGCTCTGGGCATTTTTGAGTAACACTGAAGAGTCCTCCACTTTTGGGCGGGTTCCAGCTCAGGCCACTCTCCTTCCCTTCCGGGCCTTGTACCCAGGCAGACTTGGGCTTAAGAGAGGATGGAATTCTGGGGGAACTGTTTGCTGTCGGGGAGGGTCGCCTGCCCACACCCCACCTGGCACAGCCCTCCCCCCGGGCAAGGTCAGTCCCAGCAGCCACTGCGCTTCCCTCCCGGGAAAGCTGAAGAGCCAGCGTTCGTAAAAATCTATCTCATGAACAGCGTGACCTACTGGCATCGATCACACTCGCATCGATGCCTACACACAGTCCCCGTTGTGCTCCGAGGGGCAAGGCCCAGAGGAGCTCAAAAAGCCACTTCAATCCGCCCACGGTGACTTCTCCAAGGGCCCGAAACATCCCCCCACCCCCCACCGAATAACCCCCAGCAAAGCGCTGCCGGGAAAATTCCTTGCGGATTTGAGATTTCCACTGTTAATCTCCTAACCCCACAAAGCAAACAGCCCCGCAGCAGCAAATTAAGTCCTTTTATGAAAGGGTCCCCTCCCCCGTCCTCTTTGGTGTGGGCACGGACCCTCTCAGGGCCTGCGTGTCTGGGAAGGCGTGGCCCCACGCCCCGCCGTTTCCTCCTGTTACTCCAAGGAGCCCCAGGACCCACCAGAATGTGTTGATCTGGGGATTCTGGGAACTTCTGAGACCTCGGACTTCCCTGAGGAAATTCGACAGCCTGTCAGCTGAGGGAAATGCTCCCCGTTCTCCTGTGGGGGGTGACAGGTCTCAGACAGGCCTGGCCCCGAGCACCTCTACCTTTCCAGTGTGCCCGGGGAGGCCCCAGCACAACTGTGGGGCCAAGTGATCAAACTTGGCGTGGAGGCCAGTAATCAAACCCTTCTCTGGCCTCTCTAGAAGCCTGCAGGTCACACCCCCAGGAGGTGGGGTGAGCTGAAGAGAAGATCAAAGGAGGCTGGGGCAGAGAAAGGAGACCCTGGGAAGGAGGCCCTGACTCCCCTTCTCCCACTACTTCTCACCCCCAGGTCATCCCTCAAGCTGCTGCCTCTCAGATCTGCCAGGAATGTGTTCAACCATTTTATTTTGTTTTATTTTATTTTATTTTATTTTATTTTATTTTATTTTATTATATATGTGTGTGTGTGTGTGTGTGTGTGTGTGTGTGTATATATATATATATATATATATATATATATATATATATATATATAAAATTGATTTTTTACAGAGAGGAAGAGAGAGGAATAGAGAGTTAGAAACATCAATGAAAGAGAATCATAGATCAGCTGCCTCTTGCACACCTCCTACTGGGGATGTGCCCGCAACCAAGGTACATGCCCTTGACCGGAATCGAATCTGGGGCCTTTCAGTCCGCAGACCAACGCTCTACCATTGAGCCAAACAGGTTTCGGCTGTTCAACCATTTTAAGTCACCACTTGCCTCTCACCATTAGCTTGAAGTTGTACTGCGCCCCGCTCCCCACCCCCAGCATCCTTCGATGCTGCCCTTAGGAAACCTGCCCTGTGGGGAAGCCAGCAGCTTGCAGGCACCTTTGTATTTCAGGAGCCTCCTTCTGGGAACATCATCATCTATAATTTATCAATTTCATCGCCGGGTCTGTAGTGTGGATGCTCTGTGGATTCTGGAAAGTGGGTACTCTATCTACAGGGATGGGCAATCAGGTCTCTGAGAGACTATATGTGGGTATTCTATTTATGGGGATAAACAGTCGGGTCTCTGAGGGCCCTGAGGCCTTAGCAGCAAGGGCCAAGTGTGTGTGTGTGTGTGTGTGTGTGTGTGTGTGTGTGAGTGAGAGAGAGAGAGAGAGAGAGAGAGAGAGAGAGAGAGAGAGAGAGAGAGAGAGAGAGAGAGAGAGAGAGAGAGGCCCTCAGGGAAGTCTGGTTCTGGGAGTTATTGCCAGGAGTTCTGGATGCAGACCTTGGCCATGGTGGGAAGAAGGCACCCTCCCCCAACTAGGCTCCTGAGAAGGCCATTCTCAATTTCCCTTCTTTCTGTGTTCGCTTGAGCAAGAAAGGCCCCTGCTCAGGGAGGCACTAGCCCCTCACAGGCATTAAGCCACAATAGCCCAGGCTGGGCCCTGGTCATTTGAATATCCTCCCAACTTTTGTCAGACCTGGATAGACTCCCCGGGTTCTGTGGCTGTCCCCCTTTACCTCCCATTCAGCGGAATTACCTCCAGATTTATGTCCTCCCATGGGCATCAAGAATTCCTGGAAGTTTGAGGAAAGAGAGAGAGAGGCAACTGGCAAAACGAGGAAAGCATGACAAAGTGCGTTAAGTCTTCAAGTTGAGGAGTCATACAGGCCTGGGCTGGAATCCAGATCAGCTACCTGCACACTCTGACCCTTGCAAGCTATTTGCCCCTCTGAACCTCAGCATCTTCATCTGTAAAACGGGGATAATAATGGTTTCCACCTTCTGTAGTGTCATTGTGCAGCCTGAATGAGACGAGCCTGTGAACTGTTCAGCACGTGATAAGGGCTCACTGAATGGGCTGATTAGAAGAGGCCTCATGGCTTCCAGATAGAGATCGGGCCCAGCCATGAGGCTAGAAATTCCTTCCTTCCCTGAGACCAACGAGGACCTGCTAGTCCTCCCAATGGCCTTTCTTCCAGGAGCGACTGGAGCTGGGGATGTTAAAATTCGTTTCTCTGTGCTCTGCAGAGCAACCACCCAGGTGAATAAGGGTGGTGGGCAGGGAAGGACCCAGGCCATGGTTGGGAGCAGCTGCCAGGCTCTGGGCATCATGGCGGCCACCAGGCAGAGCCAGTCCTGGGCACAGGTGGTCCATGCATTCTCTACCGGGAGATGTGAGCCCCAACAGGGTGAACATGGATCTTGGAGGAGCAAACACGTTTTAGGTATTACCATGGTTGTGGCACTCCAAAGCTCAACCCTCCCTGGCAAAATCTGATTTCTTAGTAGTATTTCATTTCTCTCATTAGAAATAAAGTCAATTCTAATTTAACAAAATTAGCTTACATTAAAATTTCCTTGGCGTGGGGGACGCTAATTGTAAAAAGGTCAAGACTAGATGGTTTGGCTCAGTGGATAGAGCATCAGCCTATGGACTGAAGGGTCCCAGGTTCTATTCCAGTCAAGGACACATGCACCCAGGTTGTGAGCTTGAACTTCAGTAGGGAGTGTGTGGGAGGCAAGCAATCAATGATGTTTTCTCATCATTGATGTTTCTCTCTCTCTCCCTCTCCCTTCCTCTTTGAAATCAATTAATAGGTATATTCAAAGAGAAAGAAAGAAGGTCAAGAAACAGGTAGGGTCTGTCTTTCAGAGTCTCTCAACTTCCTTCCCAGGCTCCCTCCTCCTCTCACCAGCCCCTCCTGCTGCCTCCTACCATATCCTTCCTTCTCCTTGGGTTCCTGGCAGCATTCGGCAGTCCAGTTCAGAGGTCACTCTGTCCCAGGGTTTGGCCAGCACTCCTCCTCACCCCGATCTTCCCTTGGCGCCTGTGACTCCACCATGTGCCTCCTCCCTCCTGCCTTCTGGCTCTTCTCTTCCTTCTTCTGCCCTCTAGACAGCTCTCTGCTCCCCACACAAGCTTCACTCTGCCCCAGGCTCCAGCACCCACTGGAGCACACCATCTGGATTCTTCCTGACACACATTCTCTCCCTTCCTGTCCACCCCGGCTGGCTTAGTGCATCCCCTTCTCCTGTAGCATTTAGTTTGAGCCATTTGACATAAAATAACATATGCCCTTGTATTAGTCTCTCATGGTCTCATGGGTATCAGATCTATCTTCCCATTTGGATTTTAATTTCTTTGAGGATAAAGACGAAGTCATAAGTCTTTGTTTGTTCCTTAGTGTCCAACCCAATTCTGGATACCAAGGAAGGCAGATGGGAAGGTCTTTATGGGCCAGAAAGTGCCCTGCAGAATTCAAGTTGCTAAGCGCCACTGGTCAATGATCCTCCCACCAGAAGAGCCAGCCCAGCCTGGCCTAGGCAAACTACAGTGGGCCGCCCCCCTCTCCCAGTCTCCTCCTCACCTGGCTGACTCCTTCCACTCCATCTGGTCTCCGTCGTGCTGCAGAGTGTCCATCTCTGTGAAGAGGGTGGGGTTGGGAGCCTCATCTTCCTCCCCCAGGATGTCCTGGAGCTGCTCAGCAGCTGGAGGCCCTGAAAACAGAGACAGCAGGCCCGCTGAGCACTCCGTGGGGGACAGAGGGCTGCAAGGCCGACTGAAATGGTGCAGGAGCCAAGCACAAGGGAAAACATTTCCTAAGTAAGTAAAACTAGGGCCGGCTTCTGGGCCAAGCTGGGTTCAAGCCTCCGTGAGTTGCATGTGCGTGAGATATTCTTTGGGAGAACAGAGATGAAAGGATCTAGTCTGCATTCAAAACCCAGGGTCTTGTAGCTGATAATGAAGGATGGGAAGTGGCCAGCGCCAGGCCAGCAGCGAGGACGGAGAACAGGATAGAAAAGTGAAGCGAGAAAATCTACGGCCTCACTTCAGTGCAACAAACCCAGAGGGACCCCTTTCCAGTCACCTCCCACAGGTGGCCTTGAAGGAGAGACTGCCACGCAAAAGGTGGCTTCACCAGGAGCCACCTGGGCCAGCTTCCTACGTGGGCAAGATGGCAGCCTGTTCCTGAGCTCCGGTCTGCTTTCCAGCTGCCCGCGGATGTCATCTCTCAGATGACTCTCCGCAACCTCAGAAGTTGGCATTCCGACACTGAACATGTACCCTTCCCCAGACATGCTTCTCCTGTTTTCCTTTCCTCCCTTCCTCCCTCCCTTCCCCCCTCTTCAACCCCTCTTCTTCTCTCCCTCCTTTCCTCCCTCCCTTTCTTCCTTTCTCCTTCCCTTCCTTTCTCTCAATATTTAATGAATGTATATTATGCACCAGGCATTGTTCTAGGTGTTGGAAAACAAAGCTATGAAGAAGGCTGATATGTTCTTGCTCTCTTAAATAGTGGGAGAGACAGACAATAAACAAATCCATAAACAATTATTTCAGGTAGTGATAAGTGTTCTGAAAAAAATAAAATAAAATGACCGGGAGCTGCGTTAGCATGGTCAGGAGTGGCCTCTTTAAGGGCGGGTATTTGAACTGTGATGAAAAGGAGGAGCCACTGTGCGCTTGAAGAAAGAGTGCTGGGGATGCAAGCTCGGTCCCCAGTGAGGGTGTGCAGGAGGAAGCCAATCCCTGACTCTCTCTCATCATTGATGTTTCTATCTCTTGTTATCCTTGAACCAGTAAGTTAATACAAGCAATCAAACCAGCAGGACTCTACAGCGATGCTCTGGCTTATTTCTCTGGGACATCAGTGGTGCTGACCACTCCCTCGGAACGGAAATGCTACGCTTGGCTCTCACAATGCTACACTTTCTTGATATTTTTTCCTGTCTCTTTGAGGACTGCTTTGCTTTATCCTTCCCCGGTCCCTCTTCCCTGATTCTCCCCAGGTCACCCATGTCTCCAGGCCCTGCCTGAATCAAGCGTCTCCCACTACCAACTGGACTGCTCCACCTGGGACTTATCAAGTCAGACTCAGCATATTCAAAACAGCTCTGCATCCCTTGTTGCAACACCCCAACCCTGCCCTCCTCTGTTTGATTAATACACCGCTAGCTACCCAGCCACCCAGCGGAGAAATGCTGGACTCACTCCAGAAGCCTCCTTCTCTTTCACCATCCAGGTCCGATCAGACCCTGACTTCGTTCATTTGCTTCCTCAATATTTTTTATCCTGCTCCCTCTTTCCCCACCCTCCCATTGCCACAGTCCTGCCTCAGGTTCCCATTATTTCCTATTCCAGTCACTGCATTAGCCACCTAACTGCTCCCCCACCACCACCACCAGCTTCTGGGAGCCCCATCCACTTCCATCTCCTATGTAGCAGCAGAGTTTGCTTTTATAACATTTCAAACCTATTCACATGGCAGACTCCAGAGAATCAGGCCAGCACCATGAAGTACTGTGCATATGAGTTAGAAAGAATTTTACTAGCAGAAAAGACTATTTGTGTATCTGTATCTAGTTCAATTGATCTCATTTATTTAAATAGACTTTATTTGTTTTATTTTCTATTACTTTAAACTTACTCCCCCACCCCCACTGGCTTTTCTTTTTAATTTTTTTAAATTTAAATATATATTTTATTGATTTCTTACAGAGAGGAAGGGAGAGAGATAGAGAGCTAGAAACATCGATGAGAGAGAAACACTGACCAGCTGCCTCTTGCACACCCCCTACTGGGGATGTGCCCGCAACCAACGTACATGCCCTTGATAGGAATTGAACCTGGGACCTTTCAGTCCGCAGACCGACACTCTACCATTGAGCCAAACTGGTTTCAGCCCCATTGGCTTTTTTTTTTTTTTTTTTTTAAATATATTTTATTGATTTTTCACAGAGAGGAAGAGAGAGGGATAGAGAGCTAGAAACATCAATGAGAGAGAATCATCGATCAGCAGCCTCTTGCACACCCCCCAGTGGGGATGCGCCCGCAACCAAGGTACATGCCCTTGCCCGGAATTGAACCTGGGACCTTTCAGTCTGCAGGCCGACACTCTATCCACTGAGCCAAACCGGTCCCAGCCCCATTGGCTTTTTAATAGCTGACATTTGCTAGCAAACATCAGAAGTCTAAGGAAACTTTATAGAAGGAAAACTAACAATTGAACAAATAATCTCACTTTTTTTTTTTTTTTTAATTGGGAGAAGGCTGACTGCTAGCACCCTAATTCTCCATGTGATCAGAGTTCAAGAACTACTCTTCTACAATGTAGTTTTGGTCATGTTACTCTCTAGGTGAAAAACCTTCAATGGCATGGCTCAAACATTCCTTGTGATCTGGACCTAACTTGTCTTTCTAGGTTCTGTCATGGCCCTCACCCAGCCACCCTTCACCCCAGCCATCCTTCACCCCAGCCATCCTTCACCCCAGCCACCCTTCACCCTAGCCACCCTTCACCCCAGCCACCCTTCACCCCAGCCATCCTTCACCCCAGCCACCCTTCACCCCAGCCACCCTTCACCCCAGCCACCCTTCACCCCAGCCATCCTTCACCCCAGCCATCCTTCACCCCAGCCACCCTTCACCCCAGCCATCCTTCACCCCAGCCACCCTTCACCCCAGCCACCCTTCACCCCAGCCATCCTTCACCCCAGCCACCCTTCACCCCAGCCACCCTTCACCCCAGCCATCCTTGACGCCAGACTCCAGCCACACTTGAACCCAGATAACCTAGACCCGTGGTCGGCAAACTGCGGCTCAAGAGCCACATGCGGCTCTTTGGCCCCTTGAGTGTGGCTCTTCCACAAAACACCACGGCTTGGGCGAGTCTATTTTGAAGAAGTGGCGTTAGAAGAAGTTTAAGTTTAAAAAAATTGGCTCTCCAAAGAAATTTCAGTCGTTGTACTGTTGATATTTGGCTCTGTTGACTAATGAGTTTGCTGACCACCGGGTAAGGCATTACCCTTACCCAGAAGTTTTGACTTCAAGTTAACGACTTTAGTACATTATTAAAATGGGTTATTTTTTTTTTTAAGTGTTTTTCCCTAAGGCAGTTTGCCAAACACTGCCCTAGACCCCAGCCATTCTTCACCCAACATGACCTTGACCCAGACACAGCGATCACACACAGTTCTCTGAAAAGAAGGACAGATCACTCCTGGGACCTTAGCGCCTACAATTCCCTGAGTCCAGAGCCCCTTTCTCCCTTCCAGGCCAGATAAGAAGGCAAATAAATGGAAAAGCATTGGGAAGACGAGACAGGGCCGGGAGAGGATCCCTGAAGGAGCCCTGTCCGGGCATTACCTGCTCCCTGGAACGGCCGAGTGCAGGGGTCCTCGGCTGCCGGCACTGCCTCTGGCCCCAGCCTGTTTCTGCTGTTGCCACCCCGACCACTGCCTCCGCAGATCCGCTCACTTTTGTTTCCAGTTAAGCATCAAAGGAGGCATGGGGTGAGGAGAGGCGGGCGAGGGAGGTGGGGGGAGAGAGAGAGAAGGAAAAGGATGAGTGACTGGGAAGCTGGAGAGAGAGGACTAGTTGTGAGAGAGAAGAGAGATGTAGTTAGTGTGAGAGAGAAGAACTATACTGAAAGGGAAATAACGATAATGTGAGTATGAGAGAAGTGTGTACGTGTGAGAGAGATTGTGTGTGTGTGTGTGTGTGTGTGTGTGTGTGGAGAGAGAGAGAGAGAGAGAGAGAGAGAGAGAGAGAGAGAGAGAGAGAGAAGGGAGGGAGACTCAGGTGCCCTGGGAGAGAAGGGCTCCGTGGCTGCAGCAGAGCTCAGGAAGGCAGCCACGGCTCCGAGGGGCCTGACAGACTGCCCCTCCCCCTCCCCCATGAGCCCTTCCCACAGTGCCCGGCTCTCCTGGAGCCCCGGGCGCCTCTCCTCGGCCCCTTTATAGGCAGAGGTAGGATTTGCCTTGAGGCTCCCCGGCAGGTGAGCTGGCTGGAGTGGCCTGGCAGGCAGGGCTAAGCCCCATAGCCCTGGCGTGGAGGTGGGGTGTTGGGCAGAAGGCTGCTGGGGTCTCTCACATTTCACAGCAACCACGCCTGGTGCTAGTTTCTCTCCTCCTAACTTTAAACGCTTCTCCTCCTCTTCAGCCACTTCTCACTAAGACAAGTCCCAGATGTCACCACTCAGGGGGAGTTTCCTGCAAGTCCCCGGACGAACGGCGGGAACCGGTCACTCTGGGTGCGTGGCAAACCCCACCAGGAATCACTGCTCTGCCGAGAAATTCCTAGTGTCCTGGGCTCAGTCCAGCGGGTGCTCACTGAGCACTCAGAACGCGCCAAGGTCGACTAGAGGTCACCGCGCGGAGGCTGCTCCCCGGCGCGCTGAAGCCTGAATTCACGGAGGCTTAGAGCTGGCAGGGAGCTTAGCAGGTGCCCAGCACAAAGCCTTCAAACCAAGCCCCAGTGTACGGCACAGAAGGGCCCACAGGCCGGGCGAGGGGAGCCTGGAGGAGAGCTCAGTCTGCTGACCGCCGCCCCCCACAGCCCCACCTTCCGCACCCCTCCCACCCCCCGCCCCGCTGGCTGCCTCAGTCACCACATTTCCAGACCTGAAGCTCCAGGGTCTAGTATGGTCGCTCTAAAGCCGAGAAAACAGCAGAGAGGGCCAGGGGCATGTGTTTCGGCGCAGAATCTAAGCAAACCCCACCATCCAGGAGCTCCTGCCTTGGCAGACTCCTCAGCAGGCAGGACCCTGAGCGGCTGGGCCCCTCTGGGGCCCCCAGGCCCACGGCTCATACCGCGCGGGGGGCCCAGCCCCTCCTGCACCACAGGGCAGCCTCTGCACACCGCACGCCGGGCGCTGTGGGCGACCTGGACCCTCCGAGAAATGCCAGAGACCACCCAGGGTGCCAGAGGGTTCTCTCCACTCGCGTGATTCTTCCTCAGCCCAGATCTGGGTTCCACTCCTGACTCCCGTTCGTTACAAGCAGAAGGATCTCGGCGAAGCATTACGTTCTCTGAGCTTCGTTTCCCCATCTAAAAAGTGGGAATTTCCCCACTCCCCTCGCTGGACTGTGCTGGACAATGAGATGCGATGCGCAGTGTGGTTGGCACAGTGCTCGGCGTGCACCAGCCACCCAAGAAATGACGTCACGATTTTTGTTGTTGCCAACAAGTGACACCTTCCTCCCTGATGACCATCTCCAGCCTGGCCTTGCTAACACTCCAAGGGCTCGATCCTCCTTAACGTCTACACGGCCATGGAACCCCCACGGTGATCTCCTACGCTGCACCCTGCACCCCTCTCCTCTGTCTGCTCCTCCCTCCCGCCCAGGGGAGGGTAGGCCACCAGGTGCTGGGCTCCTGGACCAGGTGGCTGTAACGCGTGCAGCATTCTATAGCGTTTAGCGATGCACAGCACCTTAGGGTGCCCATCCGTCCCGGTTTGCCTGGGACTGACCTGGCCTTAGCACTGCAGGTTCCACATCCATTGTCCTGGGAAACCCCAGGGTCCCAGGCAAACGGAGGCAGTTGGTCATCCCACCACCATCTCCCCGTCTACAGATGAAGATACCGACTCCAGGGACTGCACAGCCCGGGGGGCTTGGCTGATTGTGTTTCTCTTGGATCTTGGCTCCGGGTCTTATCATCGGCCTAGAAAAGTGGAAATGCAACCCCATTTCTAACGCTGCTTCTGTCCACCTGCTCCTCAGGCCTCTCCGGAGGTGCTCGGGGCCAGAACAGGCATTGTCTCCAGGGCAGGAAGCATTGCTCTTACTGGCTCTCACCACAGCTTGACAGTTCTGTTCCCCATTTACGCTCTGCTTGAGTTTCAATCGATGGGCTGCCGAGTATTGACTTTCTAAAATTATACTCCCATTGGGGGAAGGGGAGGTACGGAGAGAGAAAGAATAAACAAACCAACTGCTAAGGCATTTCATTCACTACCTACCCATTCCTTTCACCGCACGGCAGCCGGCTGCTTGGAAGCTTGGCCTTCGCAGCCTGTGCGGAATATGGTGACTGAGCAACGCGGTCTCAGCAAGGACAGGCGTGGGGCCGGAGGGGCACCCTCAGGCTTTGGAGTCAACAGCCCTGTTTTCAAACCCCAGCTTCACTGATTACAGCTGGGTCACACTCGTCCCTTGGAGCCTTGATGTCTCCATTTGCAGATGGGAGAGTAACAGCTCCCTGTTGTGAATACTATACAATCGGTTAACAGAATTATAATGAACTGCCATTTCGTGGCACAACCCGCTGGATCCTGGCTGTCACTCCGGGAGGCCGGAGCTAAAGGTGACTCCTGTCAGTTCTGCATCCGCACAGCCCGCCTTACGCTCAGGCCCTGCCACACCTAACCGCCCGGCCCGGCCCAGGCCCCCACATTCTGCATGGACCCCGTCTGGTGCAGCGGGAGTTCCCACTGGGCCTACGTGGCCAGGCCAGCTGGACCCCTGCCTGGGCTGTCTGCATGGATTCACAGAATATACAGGACACTCAGAGAGGAGAAACACACGTGGTCAGGTGCTCTACAGCAAGGAGAAGCGGAGATTCAGACAATTATCTAGATCCGTGGTCTGCAAACTGCGGCTCGTGAGCCACATGCGGCTCTTTGGCCCCTTGAGTGTGGCTCTTCCACAAAATACCACAGCTTTGGCGAGTCTATTTTGAAGAAGTGGTGTTAGAAGAAGTTTAAGTTTAAAAAAATGTGTCTCTCAAAAAAAAATTTTGATCGTCATACTGTTGATATTTGGCTTTGTGGACTAATGAGTTTGCCGACCATAGATCGATCTATATAGATAGATAGATAGATAGATAGATAGATAGATAGATATAGATAGATAGATATAGATAGATAGATATAGATATAGATATATATAGATATATAGATATATTGATATATATTGAGATATATTGAGATATATTGATATATATTGATATATATTGATATATATTGATATATATATATATTTTTTTTTTTTAATTTCAGAGAGCAAGGGAGAGGGAGAGCGAGAAACATCAATAATGAGAGAGGCATCAATCGGCTGCTTCCCATAAGCCCCCTTCTGGGGATTGAGCCTGCAACCCGGGCATGGGCCCTGCCTGGGAATTGAAGTGTGTCCTCCTGGTTCCTGGGTCAACGCTCAGTCTCTGAGCTACAGGGTCCAGGCTATTCTGCCGTGTTTTGCTCTCCTTTTGCAGGTCATTGTCCCTGGGCCTGCAAGCAGGGATTGTATCTGCCTCAGAGGCAGTGCCCAGTGGCTTGGAAGATGTGAATGATGGAGGGGCCATTCTTCCACCTTCACAGCCCAGGGAGAATGGCAGGAACAGGTCAGCTGCTGACTTTGTTAGCAGGCTTTGTGGCTCCCTTAAGTCCAGCGCATCTAGAACTGGGTCTGGAATGTATTCTTAGGGGTAGGTGGGTTCTATGGAAAGCTTTAAAGTTTGTGCTTCCATTTTGATGATAATCTTTAAAAATTTTTCTTATATCAGCAATGGCAGCGACGGAGCAGAGGGAGACTAGGACACGAAGCCACGTCTCGGGAGACTCCCTCCTGCCCGGCCACGCCCCGCCTGCACCCACAGCAGACGGCTCCCCAGAATGCACCCCTCCAGAACTCACGGGTCCTGCTGGCACGATCCACACCGCTGTCCCCGCTGCTGGCCCTGCTCCCCATGCCGGTCTGGTCCCTGTCCGGCCACAGGCCCCAGCAGACCTTCTGCTGGCCTGCGGGATGTCCCTTCTGGTCTCTCTTCCTTTGAAGGTAACTGGGGACTGAAAGCCCAACGTGGATGGAATGGCCGTCTGTGGGCACAACACAAGAGGGGGGAAGCCAGGAGTGACGAAAGTTGACATTTCTCCTTGACAGCCTCCGGGCACAGAGAGCTAAGGGAGACCTGGGGTTCCTGGCCTGGGCTTGACAAAACCCCACTCGGGGTTCAGGAAAAGCCACCCTTGGCGCTGCCACTAGAACTCTGGCAGCATGAGCAGAGCTCCCAGCTCCCTGCTCATCCAGGCAGCGATGACCACATACAGCCTATGACGCAGGACAGAGGCCCTCGGGGGAGTCCCAGGCTTAGTCCAAAATGCCAAGCCCCTCTGGCTGGTACAGAAAAGCCGGGTGCACCTCCATCGAGGGCCATTTTTACTAACAACCAAGGGCTACATGAACCACTTACCAGAAAAGCAAGTTATTAAGGGTTTCTCAAAGCTGGTTGTGTAAACTAGAATTTTCAAGAACTATAGTTACCAGGAACCTTAAATTCAATATTTACTAGGAAGGCTGGCTGCTGCGCAATCACACACACACACACACACACACACACACACACCGCCGTGCCTCCCACGTTGGGGCCACAGAGACAGCCGGGATTCTCCCAGCCCTCAGGAAGGATGAGCTGCCTAGCTTCTCGTCAGTGCTGTCTTGCAGACAATTTTTAGAAGTAATTAATAGATTGTTTAGTACTGTTTTAGACATATGGAATAATTGAGCAGATAGTACATAGAATTCCATGTAGCTATCCCCATGCCCCACCTCCACAAAGTTCCCTCTGTGTTTTTTTTTAATTGAGGTATAATTGACATATAACATTGCATTCATACAAAATAAAGATGTGATATGTGTATACACTGTGCAGTGGTTATTACAGTAAGTTTAGTTAATATCCCTCATGACACAGTTATGTTTTCTTCTTAGCATGAGTCCTTTTAAGATCTACTCTCTCAGCAACTCTCAAGTATACATTACAGATTAACTACAGCTGAACCTGACATCACAGAACTTACCTTATAACTGGAAATTTGTGCTTTTGACAGTCCTTACCCATTTTGTCCACCCCCCCCCCCACTCACCTGCCTTTGGCAACCACTAATCTGTTCTCTTTTTCGATGAGTTGGGTTTTTTAGATTGCACATATACCAGTAAATGAGCTCATACGGTATTTGTCTTTTTCTGTATGACTTACTTCACCTAGCACAGTGCCTTTGAGACCCATCCATGCTGTTGTAAGTAGCAGGATTTCCTTCTTTCTAATGACTAAATAATATTCATATACACTGAGTGGCCAGATTATTATCTGAACACATAATAATCTGGCCACTCAGTGTATATCCTATATAATAACAAGTTAATATGCAAATTGTCCCCTTGACCAGGAGTTCAACCAGCAGGCAGGGTGGCCAACAGCCCATGTCCCCTCCTCCTGACCAGGCTGGCTGGACCCCACCCATGCACAAATTCATGCACCAGGCCTCTAATATATATACAATATATAGCATATAACTGGTTTTAACTGAACTGCCATTTTTAGAATCCATAACATGTTGATACTTGGCATTTAGTATGGTTTGTAGATCTTGTAAAGTTAGGTGAGTTTAATTTTGTGCCCTAATCCACACAAGCAAAGTGCCACTCTCCTAGCTTCAGCCTGACCACGTGGTCCCTTTAAGATCCAGGGAAAGCTGGCTCCACAGGATGGAGAAGGGACAATGTGGGTGAGTCAGGAAAAGGGGCGAGCTCTCCAGACTCACCAGCTGGAAAGGTTGTTTTAAGAATATTCAAGGGATTCTCAGACCCTCGTGGGATCTGCATCAAGCTCTCAAGGTGACCTTACCTTGCTGGTCCTGACATTGCCTCCTGTAGTTCGCAGGGTCCAGCTTCCCCACCCCAGCCTTCTCCTCCTCCACCTTCATGACTGTAAAGTAAAAGACAAACTCAGCCTCAGTATGTGTACGACAGGAGAAGCTAGGATTTCAAAGGGAAATGGTTAAATCCACATACATAGTGGGAAACTTTAATGCAAATTGAAAATTTCAGGCAAAAGAATGTATAGCCCTAACCAGTTTGGCTCAGTGGATAAAGCATCGGCGAGCAGACTGAAGGGTCCCAGGTTCCATTCTGGCCAAGGGCATGTACCGTGGTTGTGGGCATGTGCAGGAGGCAGCTGATCGATGTTTCTAACTCTCTATCCCTTTCCCTTCCTCTATGTAAAAAATAAATAAAATATGTATTTTTAAAAAGAATGTATAGACCAATTGAAAAAGCTCAACTATGTCCAACAAAAAGAGAACACACCTGTTTTTCAATCACTAATGGAACATTTATAAAGAGAGCATGTTTACTAGGTCACAGAAAAGCCTTAGTACATTTTGAAGAATTAAGAATTTTGAGAATTAAGCCATTTTTTCTGTGTCACAGAGCCAGGCATGGTGGAGCCAAGATTAAAATCAGAATCTCCCAGATTCCTGGATCCAAGGATGGGAGGGAGGAAGAGGAGGACAGAAAGAAATGGAGACATGGGAGATGGGAGGGAGGGTGGTCTAGATAAGCCCCCCCCACTTCAGGGTTTCAGGCCCTTCCTTCCTAAGGTCTAGCAATTCCTGACACTCCCAGCAGCCCCCTTTTCTCTTCCATTGATTTGAGTTACTTGTATCCAAAGAGTACTCACCAATACCACCATCCACAGTAAAATGTCACCTAAGGAATTGTGTCAGCAACACACCAGCCCCTGCCATGCAGCAAATGATAGAACCTGTAGCAGCAGTGTTCCCTACCCCAGCCCCTCTACTACCCAACCAGCCACCGGCTATTTTTCACTCACCTTTAGATCAGGGATAGTTGGTGGGAAACATGGCTTGACAGTGAGAGATCAGATCAAAATATCTTCTGTGCTCAGTCACTTAAGGGCCCCATTACACTTTACTGTCCCTGCCAGCAGCCTGGAATCGTATCTGGGCTCCCTGAGAATCCTACTGTAAGGTTAGGGACTGGTGCCACACCCACACACAGACACACAGGGCCCCTGCCCAAGTGGCCTTCTCATCTCCTGCAACAAGGAGATGGAGATACAGCCACCCTTATGGATGGTCAGCACACTTTGGCCATCAAAGCCCTGGTGACCGAATTACCTGCCACTTAACACTCCCCCCACCCAGCCCCCATCCACAAGGGTACATCCACTTAGTCCAACACATCTGCTTTGTTCCAGGTGTTTGCGTAGACACTGGAAGCAGAACAAATAGTTCAATTGCTAGGGAAGAGGGGCATAATAGGTCCTCATTGAGATAAAAGCCCTCACGATTAGGCATCATGTCTCTGGAAGAAAATTAACTAGGTTGTGCCATGTCCATCAGTCTTTTGAGAGCTTTTTCTCCCATCCTATCTTTTAAGCCATTTGACCTTATTGTATCCAAGAAAATGGGACCAGCTCAGCAACGCACCCAGGGGGCCCCTCTGAGAGCCCGAAGTAGTTCATTGAAGGACTCATCTGGGATTAGTTTATAAACCAAATTGACAAGAATGACACAGGGTCATGCTGGGCTTTAAAAAGCTAAGCGAGAGCCCAGCCAGTGTGACTCCGCGGTTGAGCATTGACTCAGGAACCAAGAGGTTAGCATTGACCTATGATCCAGGAGGTCACGGTTTGATTCCCAATAAGGCTCGATCTCCAGTAGGGGGCGCGCAGGAGGCAGCGGATCAATGATACTCTCTCATCATTGATGTTCCTATCTCACTATACCTCTCCTTTCCTCTCTCTCTACAAATCAATAAAATCATTTTTAAAGTATTTAAAAAAAAAAAGCTAAACTAGAAGCTAGAGAAAGGCTACCCACTCAACATTGCACCTGCACCTTCCCTTCCACCACCACCCCCAACCCCAGACATACCCCAGGAGAGGAAAGACAAAGCAAGCAAACAGAATATCCCTAAGCAAACCACCAGTAACAAAAACAGGTACTGCATTCAAGACCTAACAACAGAAATGTATAATGAGCCCTAACTGGTTTGGCTCAGTGGATAGAACGTCAACCTGCAATTCCCGTCAAGGGCATGCACCTTGGTTGCGGACACATCCCCAGTAGGGGGTGTGCAGGAAGCAGCTGATAGATGTTTCTAACTCTCTCCCTTCCTATCAAAAAAAAAAAAATCAATAAAATATTTTTTAAAAAAGAAATTTGTAATTGAAGGAGGCCAGCCATGATTCAGTTTCTACCCCGATATGTTACGCAATTTATTTTCCCATAGTTTTCTTGGAAAGAGGAAAATCTCAGGGGGTTTTCCTACTTTATAAATATTTCAGCCAGTCTCATAAATTTGGCAAAGACGATAGAAATGCACATGACTAGAAGAAAAAAGTCTCAGCTCCATCTCAGAGGAGAACAAAAAACAAAAACAAAAAACTAACTCACCAGGTGTCAGAGGGAATGAGTCTCCTGTCATTTCTATTCTCGGGGAGTGATGTTTTGTGCCCCAAACCAGCGAACTCAAGGCACCAGGATGACTAATACAGTATCATCGTTTTTAAGGAAAGGCAAATGTCCAATGGCCATTGGGAGCATCTATCCACCTTTCATGGTGTCTTCTTTCTGCGAGCGTGGAGTTCAGTCTTAAATGCCCTGCACTCACTGTGAAGCGCATGTCCCTTATCTGCACAGCACTGTCCACCACCCCTGAAGCTCTGAGATGTAAACTCACCTCCACAGTCTGAGCACCAGGAACCACGGCCCGCGTCTCCAGAAGGCCAGACTCCCTCGCTCTGTTGCTGTTGGATGGCAAGAAGGACACGCTGTGATTTCTAGGCTGAACGGGATTTGGGGCATGGGAGATTGACTTGTGGGCTCGAGGCGGCCAGCCATGTGACCAGGGTGGGGGCAGGCACCGTCCGGCAGGGTGAGCCTGCTGGCTCACAGACCGGCCGAGATCATAGGCAGATGTCTTTGCTCTAAATTTCTTCTTGGATTTTAACTTGGTGATCTCTTATTTTATTTTCATTTATTTTTAACGTGGTGATCTTTTTATGGGAGTGTGAGGTCTCAGCCTGGATTCCGAAGGGTTGCTTTATCTCCCTGCATAGTTTCTATTGGTATTCCAGATACTTTTCGGATTCTGTCTTGCAGGGATGTTAGAGGTGGAGGTCTGAGAGTCCTTACCGATGACCCAGCCCCATCCCAGGGTCACCCATTATTACAGACAAGTGGTGGCTTATCCAGGAGCCGGCAGAGGCCTGGATCTGGCATTACCTATTGAGGTGACCCCGATGGCTGGCACCCAAAATTACAACTTCCTTGAATATCTTTAACTTGTAGGTCATTACCTATGAGAACTGCTGAGGTGCCAATAGAAGACCTTACCACATTGTAGGTGCCTAAATCTGCACCTATCAGAATCGGACATGGCTTAGAAGTTGTGGCAATCTGTACTCGTGATCAATGTTGAGTTTGTATAAACATGTGTACTTATGTTTCTTATCTTTATCACAATCTTCATTAAATACTCCAAGGTTATCTTTTTTGAGGGATCAGGGAAGATCAAAAGCTGGAGAGGTGCTGGATCTCAAAGACTTGGAGACTTTTTGAGACCAGAGCCTTCTAGTTCACTTCTGCCTCTCCACCCACATGGTCCATGCTGGCTGCCTGCTAACAGAGGGAAAGTGATAGTAATGATGGTGGAAATGGCAGAGGTGGAAATGGTGGGTGTGGCAATATGGTAACTGGGCAAAAATTGAGGTGGTGAGGTGTAGATGGAGATAGTAGAAGTCTAGATGGAGCTGGTGAGGTGTAGATGGAGGTGATGAGGTGTAGATGGAGGTGGTGAGGGGTAGATGGAGGTGGTGAGGGGTAGATGGAGGTGGTGAGGAGTAGATGGAAGTGGTGAGGGGTAGATGGAAGTGGTGAGGTGTAGGTGGATGTGGTGAGGTGTAGATGGAGATGGTAGAAGTCTAGATGGAGGTGGTGAGGGTAGATGGAGGTGATGAGGGTAGATGGAGGTGATGAGGGTAGATGGAGGTGATGAGGGTAGATGGAGGTGGTGAGGGGTAGATGGAGGTGGTGAGGGGTAGATGGAGATGGTGAAGGTAGATGGAAGTAGTGAGGAGTAGATGGAGGTGGTGAGGAGTAGATGGAGGTGGTGAGGGTAGATGGAGGTGGTGAGGTGTAGATGGAGATGGTAGAAATCTAGATGGAGGTGGTGAGATGAAGATAGAAATGGTGGAGGCAGAAAGGTGTTGGAGGAAGGGATGAGAAGACCTCTTAAATGATGAAGTAGGAGATTCGTGTGACCTGCTGCGAGTATATAAAAGAATAAAATGGTGAAGCCTCGGCATTAGGAGTCTAGTGAACCTTATTCTGTCCCCAGAGCTGTGTGGAGCAGAGCTCCCGCTTAGTAAATAGTGGCTTATTATGGGGAACTCACCTCTCTCCAAGCACTTCCCCTTTTCCTCTAAGTAGAAGCTTCTGTCCTTTCTGAAGTCTTGAGAAAGGTACTCCCTACTCACCTCTCAGTGGAGGGTGAGTGGCTCGTGTGTGTGAGAATCTGGGGGAATAAAATGGTCCTGCGCCATGACTCCTCATCCTGAGAACCACCTGCCCCAGCGAAGGCCCGAGCTGCCCCCTCACCCCCCCCCTTCACAGTGAACTTCCCAGGACAGGTTCTTACCCACGTAGGGAGTCTTCCAGTGCTACATAGACACGTTTGATTCTAGGGAAAAGTTAGGAAGCTTGATTGTTATACATCCTAAACCAAATTCTCCCATCAGCTTTACATGTTATAAAGCTATCTTGAGTTCTAGGTGTCTGACTTCTGTATCGTATTTCTCACTTGATTTCAAGCACAAGGGAAAGATTGTGAGTAAATGCCATCCCCAAATTCCAAAACCAATGGATCAATCAAAGAACCTGCGTGGAGTCGAGGGACTAAATGGTCTCTAGGTTTCCTTCAAGCTCTAACATCCGGTGATGTTGACTCTGTGTCTCTGGAGCATAA